TTGATTGAACTTGTCTGTCCATAGTTATAAATGACGAATGGCGTGCACCATTTGCTTAATATATCAAATTAATATACAAAAATATGCAATTGATATATGTTTGTTTTTTAATCTTCTCCTACAGGATGTTTGAATCTTGTGACATCTCTTTTGAAAAATTTACACTGTACTTTGATTTTGTTATTAGTCAACAACAGACTTAGTTCAATGTTAAAGAATAATGAAATGAAAATAAAACATTATATTAAAAATAAGATTTTAATATAAAGTTAATCACACTAAACACATACAAACTCATCATTTTTATTTACTAAAAACTAAAAGATTTTTGGACATTATTTTTATTTACTGAAGTGTGTTTGGTTTGTGATGTTTTTGTGTTTTTGGTTTAAATAGTACTTTGATTTAATATTTTGTAAAAAAAATAATATATTCTTATTAGGGAGCGTGATAAATGAATAATAGTAAAACGGAAAAAGATTGTAAACAGAACAGCTAAAAGATTTGGAGTGGATCTCATTGCTTGGTTCTAAGAATACCCTTTGTAGCTCCCTTTCTAAAATCTGAAAAAATAAAGAAATCTAAATGCTTGGCTGTTAGATTAGTCTCCTTCAAGATTAGTGTTTGTTTTTGTGATCTTGTTCTTTATCCAATATAACTCCCCTTTATAGCTGCATTCAGTATTAAGGCAAAATGAAATCACTCTAATTGTCAGTCTCATTTTCTTGGTTGAAATTGAATGATATGATTGACACTTGAGGATAAATGCACTTAGTAACTAAATGCTGAAATCTGCATTGACAGTAATGTTGGCATAAACTTCTGTTGCATCCAGATTTTATACTGTAATAAAATTAAAAATAAAATAATTTAATATAATAAAATAGTACTTAACTTATTGAACGGGGCATTCCGAGAATTGAACTCGGGACCTCTCGCACCCTAAGCGAGAATCATACCACTAGACCAAATGCCCGGTTATATGTGCTAGTTATGTTTTCTACCTTGTAAACTTTTTCCTCTGTGCATTTATATTTTACTGTCTATTGTTGCGTAGTAGCTCCTTTGATGTTTTCCTTTTAATAGATATTTTACAGCTAAAATGAATTCACCAACTGCAAACCATTTTAGTGTTGCAGCCACTTTTGATTTTCTTTATAAATAGAGTTCTTCTTCTTTTTCTTTTATATATATATATATATATATTTATGTATGTATATTCTACATAAGTTTTATAATAGAATTTTGCTTTTGGTCTTTATGAGTTCTAGATCAACTGGTTAAATATATCACGCCTAGAAACATTAAACGGTCAAAGCACTAAATATACATCTACAAAGTTTCTGTGACTTGCATTTTTCTGAGTGACCCTACTCATTTTAGATCTACTATGAAACCATATTTTGTACAATGCTGTAATTGGAACAAAAATTATAATTCTGATGTTTATTGGTGGGCAATTTATTCTTTGAAAGTCAGTGAAGAAGCAAAAAAGGGGGGCATTCCGAGAATCGAACTCGGGACCTCTCGCACCCAAAGCGAGAATCATACCACTAGACCAAATGCCCAGTTGCTCTTATTTAAATCTGCACTTGTCATTATGCTTTTCTGTTGCATGTTGTGCTTCTAGTCAAAAGTCTCAGTTTGATACTTGTTAAAAGGTTGGTGGGTTTGGAGTATGGTATGTGGACAAGTTCTTTAAACCATCTGTCCTAGAATGAACAGTCAATTGACCAAATTCTTACTGGAGTGGCTTGAATTATTCGAGTTTTATAGGTTTGTGCATATCATGCTTATTATACAGTTCATGATTGAAATGTTTTAACTGCTGAATCATAATGGAAATATGTTGTAAATTTTGTTTTTCGTAATGCATCTCTTATTGCTTTGTTGATCAAAATTGTTCAAGTATTCTCTTTCCTCTTTGTTTTTGCAATTTACCTCCTCATTATAATATGACATTCCTGACCCGATCAATCAAAAATTTCTTTATTTAGCATCGGTTTCTTTTTTTGTTCTAGAACTTACCTTGCGTCTTCGTTGGATTTTTACTTTATTGTCATTCGTAACTCCTATAATCCTTTCTTCACAAGCTTTGAGCTATTATCCTTCTTAATGCTATTCAAATTAGATTGTTCATCTTATTTGCATTCATTTTACCCCAAAAAAACTTCTTTTTACATTTTAGGTTTATATGGTGGAGTTGACATTGGAGCAAGAATTATTCCAATTGAAAAAGTAAGGATTCAAATTTCAAAAGCCATTGGAGGGTTTTAGGTGCTCTAAAAAAATTGAAAAACATTCCAAGGTTTTGATTCATTTCGCCAAAAGAAGTATTCCAGTTTTTCTAACCCAAATTCCTTATTTAGCCTTCTTAGTTGATTTTGAAAATACAATTATTTGACAGTGACTGTAACTAATCATAAGCAAGATGCTGAATTTCATATTGATGGTAATTGTTGAATTTTACAACAGCTTGTTAGTTGTCATGCTGGCTTCTGAAGAATGAACTTTCTTGAAGCTTCTGAAATAGTGCACATGGGCCATTTCTGCTTTTAGGAGTAATAGTTGGCTGTGGTCAGTTGACCTTGTTTTCCACAAATCAGTTAGAGATATTTGAGAAATTGCAGACGGTAATTTAGAAAACCGTGTTATTTGTTTGAAGGAGCGTTTTGAGAATTGAACTCTGAGATATGTTGCACTCAAAGCAAGAATCATACCACTAGACCAAATGCTCCATTTACGTGTGCTAATTGTGTTTGGTGCATTGAGAACTTGTTCTCATGATGAATACTGCATGTCAATTCTTTTAAGCTGTTTCATTGTAGATATTCTAATGTTAAAATGAATGTACGAGTAGTCCAGGTTTTCTGATTTGTAGATGTTGTAATTTTGACAATTCATTTATTTTCTAAAATTTATATGAGCTGTTATTGATTGAATGATTGAGCCAACCAAATAAGAGTAAGTCTTAAATGGCTGGAAATCTTGGAATTTGGGATTTATTCCAAACATCTGGAGTGTAAATTTGTGTCATTTCAACTGAATATTTTATAATTCTGATTATAGTCAACAACTATTTTTATTTCATATGTTTATCAATCCAGTGAGCTTGGTTTTGTACTTTGAACCTAGTCACAATCTATATTTGAGGCTTTCTATAATGCCTGATCTTGTAGACAAATATTGGTATTTCATGTCTATTTATTATTAGTTCATACCGGTGCATGCAAGAAACTTTTGCCACTGAATTACACATAAACAGAGCTTCAATTATTAAGGGGATTATTGTTAATCTTTCTCAGGATCTCCTGTCCTGCTGATCCAATTGCTGCTTGTCCTTGATTTGCTTAATGTGCTGGATTTTTCTTTTTTTTGGATAGTTGAATGTCAAGAACTGTCTTTATCTTCTTCAAGGCATCAAATGCTTCCATGTTTCGGAATCACAGTGTGCATTTTGGGGTTGGAAACTTTAATTTTATCCACCAGTTATATGTTATTTCTCAGTGGATCCAACACCCATTTTACCAACTGAAGCTTGTTTATTGCCAGTAGGTTTGTTAAATTTTCGTTTCTCTTTTCTTTCTTTTTTTTTTTTTTTTTCAACATTCAAGCAAACATACAATTTGAATCTTGAAAATATGATGTTCGCAAGCTGCGGAGTTGTTTCGCAAAGCATGCGGCTAGAGGCAACTACTTCCATGTTGTAATACGTCAAATTCTGTTTAACTTACCCTCCAAAGGTTACACTCATAGAAGCATTTCGAAAAATATATGAATGAGTTAATTGGGTGATTTTTTATTATTTTTTTATTTTTAGATAAAATGAATGTATAAATTATGGTGTACAAATAAAAAAGAAAAATATACTTGATGAGGGTTTAGTATTTAATAGTATAATATATATTGAGAAAGATATAATGTAAAAAAAAGTCATTTAAAGACATATGTAGATGGATCCAAGAGGATTGAGGATATGTGTGAATGTTTTCTTTGGCAAATTATTGTAGGTACACAGATGCAAGTATATACTTTCCTTAGTATCAATCTATCAATAGTTGTTAATTATATCTATATATATATATATATATACGGGTGGTTGAGTCATTATCATATAGTATAAAATAATTATCAAACTGAAGGGAAATATTTGGAAAAGCCATATGGAAGGCTATAAAACTCTTCACTTCTAGGATCTTTTCCATAGTATCTGAATTTTGCCCACCAATGCCTCCCGCTGTCCTTCCGGCTCGAAGCGTGCTTTCGTGCGAATGTCAGGTCCAGAAATATGGCGACAATCCCGGCTACTGTGGCAGGGGATGTGAACACCAACAGCACCATCTTGTTGAACTGAAATGAGACATACAGAGAATTACATGGAATGGAATGGAGAAACCTTTTCATTTAGTATTAGTATTAGTATAATACTTACCCACATTGAAGGGGTTCTTACAGGACCCAATCCAGAATTTGTTATGACATAGTCACTGAAATATCTTGGCACCGAAAGCCCCATGAAGAATGAGAAACCAATTATGAACTTTGTCCTGAAGCTGTTGAGGTTGCAATATTGCAGCAGCCCCAACCCAGCAGAGGCTGTAGTGTAGTGTACATTCATATAAACAAGAAGTTAGATCTTAGATCAATTAAGGAGTAAGTGATATGGTAGCGTGCGTACGTACACATGAGCGCGAAGAGGACGCAATAGAGAGCGCCCACAATGGGCAAGGGAATGGAGGCCACCACAGCCCCAAACTTTCCTTTTAATTCATCAAGAATGAAGGAATCAAGTAATAATGTACATGTAGTTAATTGTGGAATGAATGAATGAATGAGTTACTTACCTAATACCGAAAAGAAGAGCATGAACAGCGCCGATATCTGGACTACTCTGCGGCTTCCAACTCTTGTTAGAGCCAACAATCCCACATTTTCACTATATATATGTATACACATATATATGCTTTTAGAGCCGAGTTATACATCCATCCCACAAAGATACGATGAACTCAAATTCAAATTAAAGAGATAGATAGATAGATCGATTTTGTTTTATAGTACAAGTCAGGATGCAAGATACATTACACTGATACAGTAGATCCAGTTCCCGTTCCATATAAACCATCCAGAAACATGCCGAATCCCTGTTAGTTTATCAGACAACGCACACAATCAGTATTCATGAAGAGATGAATGATCTGGAGAAGAATAATCGATATTTTGAGTTGCACTCCATACCAGCCAGCCGATGCCTCGGCTAAGAACCGAAGAAGGTATATGAGTAGCGCTCCCAAATCTGGCTGCAGCAATGAATGCCCCTGTTGACTGCCACAGTGAAATGACAAGAAAACTGGATGATAATTATATGTTTTCGAAGATGTAGTATTATAGAAAGACTGTCGAGATTATTGTTTAATGGACACAGACCTCAACCATAGCAACAAATGCTGCAGCAATCGCCACAAAAACTTCTCCCACATGTACGCTGGGTTGCCCCCACTGAATCGGATACGGAAAGCTGATCCTGCATCGTAAACATGGCATAAGCACTCCTAGGAACACTATGATTAGCAGCAGGTGTTCAATTGTGTCGATCGCACAGCCATTCTTGGGAACAATGGTTGCTTGAAGATGATAATAGAGGATTTGATACGTACCATGATGATCCACTTACAAGCCCTGATCGATCAACACGGCAACTTAGCTGTGTATTCAGTGGTGTATTGTTGTATGCACCAGCTACGGTAAGAAGAGCTGCATAGGCCCAGACTATCCCGACAGACAACAGGACAGCATAACGATCAAATATGGGACGTTTAAAGCTCCAAAAACCCGGAACATACTGCCACATATATATGAGAATTTAGTGCACTAATATAGCATCGAGTTTTATGGATCATTTCAGCGAATCTTTCTAGTTGCATATATGATGCTGGAATGTAATACCTTACCTGAGCCAACAAAATCAGAATAACAAGCTCGGGAAGCCCAATTTCGACACACTGTGCAAGCTACAAAACAACATAGAAAAAATAATAAAAAAGATGAGCATATTTGCATATAACAAAATAAAATTGCTCGGATCTTCTTTCGATTCACACGAGCTGTTTTTGTTATGTGAGTATATCCAAGACACTCCATAAAAATTGTTTCTCGGATATAATTAAACCTTCAAGACCTCAACTGGGGTTGTCATAACTTTAATAAAAGTTTCGAAGCAATGGAGGAAATAAGGTAGAACTCATTAGGCATAAATGCACATATTATGTTCCAAGATCATCTTCAGCTTAATGTAAATTTTGTGTAACTATCTTAGATTCACTACATCCTACTACACTATTTTTAAACGAAATAATTCTCTTCATAACTTTATACCATTTACTCATATATATATATATACCCGTATTTAAATAAAAAATACACTATTTTATGCTTGTATCTAGTAATCACTCCATCCATGCCGAATTTGGCGTGGGGTGGAGTTGCTATAAAGCTTGAAGTACATACATACAAAATCGTGATTCTAATAAATGGTGGAGTCGTCATAGCTATAGAAGATCGAAAAAAACATTGCTATGTAAAGATAACAGCGTACCAGCGGGAAGCCCTGTTCATAGAGGCCAAGTCCCACAAGAGTTACAAGAGGCACAGCAGAAAGAGGGCTCAGGAACCTGAAGCATCAATCTAATGGAAGTCGATAACTAATTTCTTTATAAGGCGTAGTCAAATTATCTCACTCATTAACATTCATTTACTTGGATACCTGACAACAATCCTCCAAATTCCTAGAAAGCCAAGCAACATTGGTAGCACTGAAGCTACCATGAGAGCTCCTTGTATTGCCGTCATTGTGCTAATAAACCTCTTAAACAACGAGATGAGAAATTATTATTAAGTCATCGATATAAAGATTGCTCCAGAGGGATGAACAGGGAAAAGTTATGATTCAAAGCTCACCTGAGAAGGGCTGAATGAGAAGAAATATCTTTGGGCGAATGCAACATAAAGAGATGGAACAATGAATCTGAATGAACCCCCTATAACTACCGGTAATCGTGTCCCGAACCAGGTTTGTAACAATGTGTTCAGCCCAGAAACAAACAACAAAGTTTGTATCACTTGAGCCTTTTCGACCTGATATGTAAAGAATTACTCCACCATTAATCATATACAGGATGAAAACTTTTATCATAGTACGAGCAGAGAGAGGTAAATGAGGTCTGAAGAGGAATTACTGACATTGCCGCCGCCCATGTACGGAACAATGATGGTAGGAATGATCACAGTAGTCCCCAGCATTACCAAATAGTGTTGGAATCCCAAAATGGTTGCTTCACCTGCATCAGTTACAGATCAAAGTTACTTTTAACAAAATTAAACTTAATTGCCATAGCAAGCACCAAACAGAACCTTAACCAATTTTCTTGAGCAGTCAGGCATTTATCCTTCTATTGATTCTTTGAGAACTCGAACACACAAAAAAATTAGTGAAACTGAATTTAACTATACAGCAAGTAAACATAGCCTAAACTAAAATCGAAAAAAAAAGCACGACTAATTGTTGCATAGTTTAGCCGATGAACAGAGGACAGTGATCAATGATAATCTGTTCTTTCCCAATTTACATTTGAGATTAAACAGAGGATTTGAACATCACATACTAAAATGCAGAGTGAAAGAGGCATTACCCCAAGAAGGGTTGCTATTGATGCAATACTCTACGCCAGGCAGCTGTTCTTTGACAGGGTGAGGCACCAATTCATCCACCACTTTGGCCATTCTCCTTTCTCTCTGCAAATCGCCCAAACCCAATAGAAGAGATTTCAATTCTTCACTCTTTGAATTATCTCTCTCTATATATATATATAGAACATCAAGTCTGCTATACCCTACCAACTAACTACTGCTCTTCTTCTACGTCAGTCATTGGGCGCACTACCACCGTTACAGTCAATCGGAGCGCAATCCCCCCCATAAAGCTTAAATAGCAATAATAAATAGCAAGAGAAACAAGGAAATATACATAAATATTTGATCAACCAACGGCCTGACCACTTTTTGACAAAACAACACTCCGCAATTATTTCGACTGCAGGCAGACAGGCAGGCGGAGAAGTTGAGAATTCTGATGGAAAAGCAAGCGATTATGGTTGAGACTGTGGCGCCATTCCAATTTCACATCACATAAACAATATTCTCAGGAAAGCACACCAACTCAACCTACCTGATGAATTCATAATCATTAATTTCCCGATGGATCCATCTCGGCTGCAGCCCTCTGTAAATGTCCGCATCGTCGCATGTTAAATTCGGAAAAGCATAATATAATAGCAACGTCAAGATTGAACTATGTCCAACCCTAATCCTGTTTTTGTTAGGTGGAGCCGTTTGGTTGTGGTTGTAATCAAAGCCTAATATTATTAATTGTATAAGTAATTAATTAATTTGGACAACTAAAATGGATTTCGTTAGCTAAGTGGTAGTACGTAATTATACGACATGATAGTTTTATTTTATGTTTTATACAACATTTAACTGAGCACTAACCGATTGCTGCATGCAACAAGGACCGCGCCTCCCGAACCTTTTTAAATTAGTACACTTTAAATATAAAATCAGTATATGTCTTTATTATATATATATATATATATGGTATGTTCTATTATAATTACAACCTATATTATATAAAAATATGTCTCGTAAGAGATGTTAGTGGTGTAGGAGTTGGACTTGTGATCATGAGTTTATGGGTTCAAAACACCTTCACTTTTTAATCTTATAGCGTTTTTTATAGATATCAAATGTAGCAATAGAATGATTAACCATATTTCTATGATTTTTGTTGCAATGTTTTTTTTATTAATGACTCATTATATTTGACTATATAGCATTATTTTTTTTTTTATGACGGTAAAAATTCGCAATTGTTATTTGTCTGGGTAAATTTTCGATCGAACCTAATAGGCTAGACTCAACAAGAAAAGTTACACTAATTGCTAACCTAATAGTCTCCAAAAATTTGAAGGTGTCGGAAGTTTGAATCGATAACACTCAATTACAAGTTCACTCTATCTCACCGGGTCATTCTTTGCTATTATATAGTACTTTTATTGTCGTATTGAGTGCCTAGAAGGTAATGTCGGCTTGACACAGTCATATATAAATTTCTAAATCCCAAAGGATTGAATTACAAATATAAAGAAGCCATATATTGTCATCTAAAATATATCTATATACTATATTGACAGATACACAGAGGCGGAACCACCATAGGGCAAGGGGGGGCAGCCCCCCCTCCCGGGCCCACCCCTTTTATTTTATTTAAATATTTTTTAATTTTTTTTATATAAGTATGTATGTATTTGTATATTAAAAATATTTAAATTTCATAAAGAATAATACTAAAAAAATAGTTAAGTATGTTTATGCCTAGTATTTTAATTTCATATATAATTTTTTAGAAATGTTATAAGATAATATAATATATATATATATAACAAAAGTTAAATATACTTTTAGTTGTGATAATAAGATAATTTTAATAATTTTTTAAATATTCTTTTTTTTAAAAAAAAAAAAACAGTTCTATTTATTATTTTTAAACAAAATAAAAATAAATATATACTATATGTATTTTTTATTGCTTTATTTATTATTATTATCTTCAAATATATCAACTTAAAAAATACAACATTGAAATATATATTTTAATCGTGTTATTTTAAAAAATTTAAGAACTAGCCCCTTGCATCGGTCTCTGGTCTCTAGTTCCGCCTCTGCAGATCCATACATATATCTATATATATATATATATATATAATGGGTATTAATCTAAAAATAGTGAAGAATGTTTCTCATGTGAGAATATGAGATCCTGATTCCCATATATATATATATATATATCTGCATCAATCAATTCATCCTATTATATATATATAATCTCACCTTCCTCCTCCCATCCATTTATCTCTCTCAGTACATAAATTATATTCTTCTTCTTCGCCCATAATTCCCCGCGTCCACCAATATTTATATATATATATATATATATATATTAACCCTACCTTTCTGCACCCAAGGAATTGAAGCAAGAAGGAAATCAAATCAAATCATGAGTTATTACAATCAGAATCAACCCCCTCCCCCCGTCGGCGTTCCTCCTCCCCAAGGCACTAACTAATTATACATACTTCATTACAGTTTCTTCTGATTCGTTCCTGATCGTCGTTTTAATTTATTTAATTAGGGATTTATGAATTGATTAATTTGTGGTTTTGATTTAATTGTTAGGGTATCCTCCCCCGGATTATCATCCCAAGGACGGATATCCTCCGGCGGGTTACCCCTCACAGGGCTACCCGCCACAGGGCTACCCGCCGCCGCAAGGCTACCCGCAGGGCTACCCGCCGTATCCCCCGCCGTACGGTCCTCCTCCACCTCCGCCGCCGCAGCAACAGCAGTCGGGTCGCAGTGGTTGCATGGAAGGATGGTACGTCGTTTAAATTAATTAATTATTTAATTAAATTTTAGATTATATATGGAAATCTGCTCTTTGGTTTGTTTTGAAGTCTGGATCTGTAATTGATTGATTGATTGTTTCTTTTCCGTGAATGTGATGAATTGTTTTCTACCAGTAATACCAATCAAGAAAAAATGATAAAAATATATTTATTAATTTTTTATGATATAAATATATTTGTGGAGTAAATTATACAAATATAATGATGCAAGACAAATAGTGTTGATTTTATAGGACAAGATATTATTATTATTATTATTATTATTATTATTATTATTATTAGCTTCGGTTTGAATGCTTGTTGGATCAAATCAGCAAATATGATAAGATTGATCCATATGGATGAAATTAAATTAGAGATTGGTAAACATGAATAGGGAAAGAATTTCATGTTCACTTCTGTAAGCCTTGTAGTTGTAGAAGAAGAAGATTGAATATGAATCAATTGACTCTTGGTTTCATATACCATATTAGATCAATGCATATATAAATACTTGTGGGATTTGCTAACTTCTAAATTAATGTTTCTATTTTGATATATATGCAAACTTTTGAGTTCTATTATTCTAATATGTTGGAGACTCGATCGACCCTACCTATCAATCATGATTCTTGTTTAACAAATTAAGGGTGTGTATGTTTGGGGGTTTGGATTTCTAGTTGAAATTTGAATAGAAAAAATTGTGAATTGGAATAAGTGTATAATGTGATTATGATGTGATATAAATAGGTGTTGATGTACTATTTTTTATATTTTTTATAATATAAAAAATAAAAAATAAATGCTTGATTTGATGTTTTTGAGAGAGAATTTAATAAATAGTGGAAATTGGTTGAAATTTTTTAAACGAACACTTTTCATTTTGTTCATCTTTCTTAATTAATTAAACTAATTGTATGTTTTCTTCTACCTTGGTGATCATGTGTATTGTGTAGTTTGGCTGCTTTATGCTGCTGCTGTCTATTGGATGCATGCTTTTGATGATACGAGATATATATGAAAGACGGAAGGAAGAAGATACACGGGAAAGAGGGAGAGCTATAGAGACAGAGAGGATCCAATTTTATTGTTTGATGATCGAAACGACAACAACTTTATCGACTTCACAAATTGTTTTCTTAAATTATTCTGTCTCGATTTTGTTTGCAATTGGTGATGTTCAAAAAATTTTATGCAAGTTTGTTCTTTAATATGTGCTAGTGTCGCGCGGTGCATAGCACAATCTTTCTCTTCCAAACTTTAGTAAATTAAAAAAATTACACTATTTTATTACTTCGTGAAAATGTATAGTAAGTTTTGACATTTTTGTCATTTGATTTATGTATAAATTAATTGTATATGTAACGATATATTTATAATTTAGATTAAAATTAAAAATATTTTAGTATTAGCATATAATTACTTTCATAGAAAAAAAATATTTTAGTGGTATTAACATATAAACTTTCACTACAATAGAAAAAATATATATATTTTAGTTGTACAAACAAAAATTGCAAAAAATGATATTTTAGTTGAGACTGAGGGAGTATTATACACATAATTATATATAATATACATTATATCTACTCATTAAAGATAAATAACCAGAACATAATATTTTTATTTTTTTTATATTACTGACATTATTTTCATTCTTAACATATATTCATCTAAAAATATATAATAAGCATGCCCCTTATATTTTATCTTATATTTTTGTAAATTATATTCATATAATGTATAATAATATATAGTATATTAATTGATAAGTACGACTATGCTTATTCGGAATTTGCTTTTTCAACTTTTTATTATACGGTCATTAAGGATGTGTTTGTTTTATGCTTTAAACTTAATGAATTTTTATGTTAGGCAGAAAGAAGTTTATCATTAATATAAAATTTAATATTTATGTTGAATTATTTATTCTTTTGAGTTGATAGAGTACATAATTATACATTTTATGTAAATGAATATTATATTTTTATAATATTAATCAAAAATTGTATCAAAAAATTTCAATGAGGTGAACAAACACTAGTGTTTGTTTGTGGGTTTTAGATTTTGGATTTGAATTTTTTAATAGAAAAAGTTTAGAATTTAAATAGTTATTTGATGTAATATAGATAAATGATGTGATATTTTGAATGTAAAATAATTTGTAGTATAATATATATATAAAAAAAAAAAAACTGTTTGATGTAATATTTTTAAAGAAAAAAAAAGAATTTGAATAATAAAATTCTGTCCTAACGCTTACAAAAGAACACAACAACTAGGACTTTCCCACTATTTTCTTGTGCCGAAATGTCTCACAATTTAGCTTGCGCGGCTGTTTTTTTTTTTTTTTTCATAAACATATTTAACAAATATAAATCAATTTAATTAAATTTTTAACATATGGATCCACTCAAAACCCCTTTATTTTATTTCTCTCCTCAATGAATAAATATTTTTATCTATATTTAAAATTTCTTATTTTTAATAAAATTAGTTTTAAGTTAATTATAAATAAATAAATTATTTTTCTTATTTATTTGTATTATATAAAATTTTGTTTTTTACAAAATTATATTCATATTGTATATATTTTATTAATATATAATGCTAAAAATATTTAAAATGCCAACACTACTCATAAAATAATAAAATAATATCATGACTTATTATTAATAACTTACTAATCTACATTACCTAAAATAATGCATCTATAAACAAAAGAGTCATCTTGACCGGAACCGAAGGAATACAATTTAAGTTCAAGATACACAGGTGAGCATAAAATTAATGTAATTATTTTATTGTGCATAATCTGCCTCATTTCAAATAAACATCAATATGCAAACTTAGGGATGTAATTTTCCCAATTATTGATAGGAATACAAATGTTTGTAACAAAATTGATGTGATACTAAGAATAGAAGCTCTGCAGATTTTGTTACAAATGGTTTCCTTGAATATAGCTTCGACAGTCTACAGCCTATTTTTAGTACTACACATTGCTCTTACAAAAGGTGAAAATTGTTGCTGCTACTTCTTCCAACAATGGTGTTCCAATAGGATATCTTTGATGATTGCTTGAAGAGGGAGCTGCACAAGTTCATTCATTCGAGATGCCGAAAAAGCGAGCAGGAATTTCCGCGGGTAGATCCAAAGAGGCAACACACTCAAACTGTTTCAATAAAACCATAACATGCAAAAATTGGATTCTTTTCAAAATTTGGTGAAATTGTTAGAACAAAAGGGCTATTGTGGGCTAGGAGAGGTACCTGAGGATCCATATATTTCTGTCGAATAGCCGGGGCGTATTTTTCACTTGTTAGTTTCCGGTTGTGAAGTCTAAGAACACACTCTTTCAACTCATTTGGTTTATACCCTGTTAGTTGTTGCAGCGCCAGGTTCTGCATAAGGAGGGATCATTTAAAACCTCGACTCGTTTCATTCAAAAATCGAAGAACATATTACAGCACATTATCCTTTATATAAATGATTCACTGCCAAAGAATATTTGAGTGCAGGAGAAATGGCTGCCTTGCAATTTAGTTATGATACACAATGTTAGGATGAGGTTAAGGCTTACCCATGGATGGCATGTAGGTTGGATAATCAATTTCGCAAGAAAAATGGCCGAAGCAGCGACAATTGATGGAGTGTTGCAAATGCAGCTGTAGTCTGTTAAGCTTAGCTCTCCAAGATAACTACATAGACGATCGAATTCAGGATCCGAAAACTGAGAAAAAGGAAATCAACTAGTTTAGCATTATACATATGGATAAATGCTTCGACAATGAGAATTGTGTGTTGGAAAAATCTTAACCCACCTCAGGTTCTTCCTGCACTGCCTCCGACATTATCCTGAAAATGATCCCAAAAATAGAAGGTTATAATCGGATATCAACCACAACAAATTCTTTACAGAAACTCTGTAATTAACTGTGCTTGGGAACAATCAACAAATGATCAGAAAATTTCCGAACCTTAGGAAGGTTTTTGTAGTTGGAAGGCCGATCTCAAAATTTATAAACTTGAGGACATCTTTCTCCATTTCCATCACCTGATAGTTACAGCCATGGATATTCACAATGTGAGTGTTTAAAGCTACAACTATTCAAAGTACTCGATAGAAATGTAATAATACCTCTTCGATTGTGAATGAATTGTCTGTTATGTAGACAAAATTTTCGATGTGAGGAGGGGTGATTTCTTCATGTTTACTGCAGTTTGTATCGAGCATATAAGAACTAGCAAAATAATTTACATCATCAAATCAAAACAGAAATTACTAATCTTACGATGCAATTAGCATGCATGTTATGCCAAGAAGTTGAAGCTTGGTCCTCATCAAGCTATGGGTAGAAAGATATCGGTCGATATAGTTTACAGTGAGGTACAATGTATCGGAAACAAGTTTATATTCTTGAGCAACCTCCACCAACCAATCAATCAAAACAGATCGCATAAATGGATTAATATCAGTCTGCACCGTCTCCATGTAATTAGACGAAGGCCTCAATGTAGCTTCAACCTAAGTTCAAAATTCTTCATTAGATATGGAAACCAACATGAATACAGGCAAGAGATTTGAAAAGCTAACTATAAATTAAGTCAAATAAAGGATTGAAATCTTTGAAAAACATCCTTTCAAGCATAGGAAATGACAGCAAATACACAAAAGCAACTGTAAAAACCATATCAAATTGGAACAGCGCCAACAATTGTCGGATTAAATATTTTCAGATCTGCTGCTGAATTTTTATGGAGAACCCAAACTGTAATAACATTAGCAGCAGATTTCCAAAGTTCTAATCAATCTAATTAAATAAAAGATAGCCACAATCCAAATCAAGAGTAATCCATAAGAAATAGCAGTTTAAGACTCCAAACCCTAGAGTAAAACACCATTCCAAGTGGTGCCTATCAATTTATAGTTACAAATCCTTAAAAAAAGAAAGAAGCACACAGACAATCTAAATAAAACCATATACCTCCAAGGAGCGCAAATGTAGGTAAATCGAAGGAGGATATTGGAAAATTGGAGTCTCCTCCACCAAATCCAAGCTATTCTCACTTTCTGCGCTTATCCAAGATTGTTCTGTTTCCAACTTCCGGCTTTTACCCACAATCGAGCTCTGCGAGAAATTGGATACATCAAATGCGTTGTTGGTTAGCTCCCCTAGCACTGTCCTCTTCTTCAACATCCGATCCCCTTTTTCAGATTCAGCCGGTCGCTTAAAAGACGCTCTGCACCGCGGGCATTCCTGATTTTCCTTGTAAGCCATTGATGCCCTTGTATGCTTAGCGTATTAAGAGACAGATGCAGCAAATAACCGACTATGGATCGTATGTATGAGAATGGATGGAATTTATAGTGAACAAGTGAGGAGGGAAAGCTCCCCGGGACAAATAATTTCGATTTGAGGGGAAGAAGAAAGAGGGAAAGGGGAAGAGGGAGAGATGCGAAGATGGCCGCCATATTCACAATTTGAAAAAGAATTGTTTACCGCCACTCGTCAAAGTGGCGCACTACCTCAACTTAAAATAGATCGGACCGAATGATTGGCGGATCTAATTTAGGCCGTCCGGTCTAAAAGTAACGGCCGTGATTTATTAAAAGGTAAAAGACCAATCTGTTTATACAATTCTCTTGTAATTTTGGCATTATTTAATTTTTAGAAAAATAAATACTCCTATTAAACATATTTATTTTTTAAAATATATATTACTCCCGCCCCGCCAGCCCGTCCTTCAATTATGTTTGGACAATAAGTTTTTTCAAAAAAAAGTAAAAAATAATAATATATTTCTTGCTAAAAGAAGTAATATTTTTTCTTACAATTCAAAAGAAAATATAAATTTAAATGACAAAATAGTATTTTTTAATTGTTTTTAAAATTCTAAAAAAATTTAAATCTATTCAAAAAGATATCTATACAAATTTAAAACTTTGGTATACAGATAAGTTTTTAGGGTGTGTTACTCTTGAGATTTTATACAAACTTTTACTATTATATAGATTTTACTTTCTCTAAAAAATATATATATATATATTTATCTTTTTTATCTTATCAAATATTATTTTAATAAAACATTCAAATTTTCAAACTCTATTTAAACTAAAAAAGTCAGAGTTGACAAAATAGGTACTGCTAAAAAATTTGATTCAAATACAGCATGAAAAAAAATCGTACCTGAGCCTTAAAAAATAAAATTGAAAAAATCTGGTCGTATCTAGCCTGGAACAAGTACATTTAACTTCAATCAAATTCTTAGGATATATATATTCAATCATGATTTTATAGAATTCTATTAAACTTTTAAATTTTGAGTGAATTCAATCCAAAATTGTAAAAGTCTATTCAAATCCGAAGCTATTTAATTCAAATTTTAAAAATCTTTTAAAATTTGGAGGTATTCAAATATCTATAGACTTCAAAATTATATGATTTTAATGAATTCTTGTTGAAAATTATGAATAAATGATATAATGTGAAATCAAATTATCGGAAGAGATTTCTATGAATTCTTAAGAATATATATTATTATTAGAAGTGATAAATATTATCACAATATTTATTAATATTGTTATAATCTTTTAATAAAATTATAGTACTTTCAAAAACTAAAATATCTATCGAAAAATATTAGTAATAATTTTACAAATTAAAATATAATATAAAAATATTAGCAATTTTTAATAAAAAAATACTCCACGTTTTTAATTTAAATTATAAACTAATTCTTATTTTTTCTTGCATTAAAAAGTATATCCATATAAGTAAAATTTAAAAAAAAAATTAAGAGAATTTAAACCCAAATCATTTGAAATAAGATAGTATTCGTCACCATCTTTATTTTATCCTATTGACATTTTACATCAAACTTGTTAGATTAATAATAATATACACATATAAAATATAAAATTTTAATAGATAAATATAGTATTATGCTACAATTATAATACATCATTAATAAAATATATTTTTTTATTTTAACTATTACATTTTTTATATTTTTATTTAATTATTTGAATATTTTAATTTTCTATAAATATATTTTGTGTAAACAATCCAATCAAATATATAAAAATTAATTTAAATCAATGTATAAACTCTATCAAATTCTGAATAAACTCTATAAATTTATATAAATATATAGAATTTTGAAATCTAATAAAATTTCAAATAAATACACTCTTTAATTTCCTTCCGATCCCAATCATTTAGATTTGTAAATTTTCAAATTTGTAGCAATGTTCACAATCTTTCACATGGACATCAAGTCTAATTTGTTGAATTCCATTTGTCAAATATAAAAAAAAATAAAAATAAATAAATAAAATAATAATAAGAATAATAAATAAGAAAAATAAAAATAAAAAATCTCACTGCTCAATCAATCCTTAGCAACACAATAGACAAATAAGCATCATAATCTATACATTTTAACTAGAGGTTTATGTCTATTTCTCACGCGTGGGAACCAAGTCACTCATTCTTTGATCAAGACCGATCAAATAAAATTATTAGGTTGTGTTATTTTGTGGATTTTACCATAAATTTTTATTATTCAAAATCTTTTTTTTTTCTAAACAAATATCAAATCAAACAATTATTTTTCTCTTTTTATATTATACTACAAATTTATTTTACATTTAAAAAATCACATTAATCTCTATTTATATCACATCAAATAATGATTTAAATTCAACTTTTTACTATTCAAAAATCCAAACCCAAAAAACTAAAACCCACAAACCAACGCACTCTTAATTATCCTACTTGACCATTAAGATTGATTTTTCCCTAGCAATTAATTCCTTACTTCAATTAAACAAACAAGTTTTAAATTTCTTCAAGACCAGCCTTCATTATTTTTATCCAAAAATGCTAAATTTAATAGACAATTAAAAAGAAAATCAACATAGTTATAATGGACTTAGAAAATACATATTATCAGAAACTCTAATATTTAGTAATAGAAAAAAAATCTTTTTGTGTTTTTTGGTATTTTTGTTTTTATTCCATTTTAGGAAGAATGGTTGTTATACATCATATTTTATTTTATTCTTTGTACAAAAATTGTACTATTATGTACAGTTTTGATATATGATAGCCAAGTTTAACACTTGGCCATGTCCCCTTTTCCACGCTTCAGTGTGAACCGAAAAGTCTCTAGTTTTAGTCTTCATTATTGGAAAAGTTGATACGTGTGTTTGTTTGGGGGATTGGATTAGATTTTTACTATTTATTTCATTTTTTTTTAAAAAATATCAAATGAAACACCTATTTTTTATTTTTTATATTATACTAAAAATCAATTTTACATTCAAAACATCACATCAACATCTATTTATATCACAACATACAACTATTCAAATTCAAAATTTTTTACTGTTCAAATCCCAACTCAAAATCCAAACCCCCAAACAAACACACCCATTACTCTCTCTCTGTCCTAGGTAATTATTGCTGTTAACGATATGAGCCGAGCCGTGTCGAGCCAAATTTTAAGTGTTCGTTAACGTTTGCGAACAAGTCTCGGGCTCATTCGTTAAGTTTTCGAGCTCGTTCGTAATGTTCGAGCTCGGCTCGTTAAGAATTTTTGTTGTTTGAGCTCTAATTCGTGTTCGGCTCGTTTAGGCTCGATTAAGTTCGTTCGAGCTCGTTTGTCTTATTTTTTTTAATTTATATATAAATTATAAAGAAAATTTAAAATTATTTTATTTATATATTTTAAATTAATATTTTATTTATTTATGACTTATAATTTTATATGTATATATAATATTTATAATAAATATATTATTTAAACGAACGTTCGCGAACAAAGCTCGGGCTCGTTCGTTAACCAAACGAGCTTGTTTATATTGATCGGCTTGACTCGTTAACGTTCGCGAACGAGCTTTAACCGAGCCGAACCAAGCCGAGTTTAGGAACGGCTCGATTCGTTTAACAGCTTTATAAGTAATATGAGACTATTACTGTAAAATATAATTAATAAGTAATTAAAATATATATTAGTAAAAATAATTATTATATACTAAAAATAATTATAAATTAAGATTAAAATAACTAAATAGTTTAATTAAAATTAAAAAAATTATAAAATTTAAAATTTAAAATAAGATTAGAGTGTATAATCATATTTATAAAAAAAATGACAAATTATATGAGACAGGACAAATTACGGACACAAGGAATATGACTTTTGACTTTGTTGGAAAAAAAGTTTTAACTGGGTGTGTTTTGATTTTACTTTCAAAATAAACATAATTCAATATGTATATTTGTTTTTAAAAAAAAATATATTTGATGTGTTGTTAATGTTTTGTATTATTGAACGAATATATATATATTTTTATGTCTATAATGTCGGTAATATTAAAAATAATATTATGTCTTTAGTTGTTAATTTTTTAACAATATAAAATTGATGAATAAGGCCGGGTTATAGTTAAACTTATCGAGATTGTTTAAACTTACTTTTGGTTTGTCAAATGATCAAATTGAAATCGAATTTCTAAGTCATGATTTTGGTTTGCTGATTTTGGTTTCGGTTGTGACAATTTTAATTTGAAATTATTGAGTTTTTTTTAAAACAAATTCTTTTTATTTCATTTTTTTTCAGAAACTATAAAAATTTTATTTTTATTTTTTAAGATATATATATATATATCTATTTTTATGTAAAAAAATATATAAATACTAATAAATTTTATAAGATAGGATCATATTTTGGTTTGGTTTTTTTTATCATTTCAAATAAAAAAATCAGCTTTATTTATTATCATAGTTCTCAATAAAAATATAATAATATTTTTTCACAAAATATCAAATCAAATTATTATTAAAACAGAAAATTCAAATATAACATTTCATTTCAAATTAATTTTAATAAATACGACAACTTTGTTCTTTTTATGTTTTTTTTCTCGCATATTTTTTTTAAAAAAATTAATACATTGCATATATTCATTATTTTTATATTCTCTGCATAATTCCCTATATCTCAAATAAAAAAAAATATTTTCTTTTAACAATCTTACAAAACAAACACAATTAATTAAAATTTTTGTAATATCCATTGGTTTTATTCATAGAGATCCATAAATTCTTTAGGATTTGTTTGGTTTGAAGGGATTGGAGAAGATGAAAAGAGAGGGAAATATATATATATATATATATATATATATATTATTTGGTTCAATTTTTATTAAATGAGACTTTAATGGAAGGGAAAGGAGGAGAAATAAAATTCCAACTCTAAATTTTGATAAACTGGAGTTGAAAGGGAATAAAAGTTGTCTGGCTTTTTATTATTTAAAATTACTATTATATTTTTTCATTATATATTATATTTGTATTTAATTATGTACGTAGATTATATTATACGTATAGTAAAAAATTAATTATGATATTTTAAAATTATATAATATAATTAAAATTATATCTTCTTATAAATCAAATTAAATTATTTTAACGTAATTAAATTGGTAAGGGTTCAATTATAATTAATAAAACAAATTCATATATTTTTATTTATTTATTTAATACTACCAACAATATTTATTTTTTAATTTATTTTGAATAAATACATTTTAGGTCAAAATAATTATATTATTATAAAATAATTCAGTTTTCTTGTAATTTTATTTTTATGCGACATAAAATAATTCAATTTTCTTGTAATTTTATTTATAAAATAATTCAATCTAATATTTTATTTATGCTACATAAGTATATATAAGCTTATTTTAAAATAAATTGCGTTACATTATATATTATTCTATTATATCAAAATTGATGTTTTAGTAATATATTAATAAAAAATTATTATATAATTTTATTTTTTTATTTATATACTATAGGGACAAAATAATAAAATTATTATTATTTTTTTCTCCTCTCCTATTTATTAAAATAAAAAAATAATTTATTTTTGGGATAAATTATACACTACCTTCTTGTATTTAAATAAAAAATACATAAAATATTTTATATTTTATTTATCGCGTAAAACTATCTGTTATATAAAAGTTTGTACAAAATACTCAAAAACTTGATTGTAAATATGCACCTAAATTATGTAATTTTATATAAATAATAGAAATAAAAAATCTTAAATAATATTTTTGAATAATATAAATAAATAAATAATTTATAATGTTTTGTAAAAATTACGCAACAGTTTGTCTTTATAATTAAAAAAAAATAAATTAATCGATTATATATTTATTTATTTTATTTAAAAAGACTATTTAATATACTTACTATCAGTTTTGACGAAAATTATATTTTAAGCAAATTATAATATAATACAAAAAGAATTTCACAATAAATAAAATATAAAGTATTTTTTTACATTTTTATTAAAATAACAAAAAAAGTTTTATATAATTTATTTATTTTTATTTTTAATTGAATCTTTCTTTTCATATAAACTAAACAAACTCAGTACAATTTTAATAGTACAACCCTAATTTTTAAACAATAGTAAAGAGGTCTCCTTCTTCTAGATCCCGAGAGTCGATCACGACCGTCCACCATGGACCCCACGTCACCAACGGCGTGGATTTAACGACGAGTCAGGCTCTACTCCGACTGCAACGTCACAAGTCAGCGTCAAGTCACCGTTAACGCTATATATAACCAGACTTCAACCCATCATACCAGAACTTGCTCCGCAATGTATCAGAAATTCCGTTTCCCGTCGGTCAAAGCCGCCGTGTCCACGGCGGCGTCGGTGGCTGCCACGGCGGTGCTCGTCCGGTCATTCGCCAGCGATTTCGTCCCCCACGAGCTCCGCCACTATCTCCTCTCGAAATTCCAGAATTTCCTCTCCACATTCGCCAACGACATAACCCTAACCATCGACGAAGTCGACGGACTCAAACGGAACCACCTGTTCGAGGTGGCGGAGCTCTACATCAGCACCATCAAAAGCCCTGCGACGGCGCGGCTCCAAGCCTCGCTTGCGGAAAACGAGAAGAAAATCAACGTCACCGTCGGCGGTAACGAAGAAATCGCCGATCAATTCGCCGGAATCAACCTGAAATGGCGACTCGTCGTCCGTAAGACGGAGCCCAGGTACAAATTGAGAGTAAATTTCCACTATTTAAATTAAATCCTTATTATTTTATTATATATATTTTTTAAAACATTATTATTTTACTATATATATATTATTCATCGTCCCATTTAATTTCTCACTCTTTCTGTACTTATGCGATGTTTTTTTTTTTTTTTTAAAATATAATTATATATTTTAATCACAATTTGAAATTAAAATTTATAATTTTTTTTTAATTAAATTATTTAATTATTTTAATTTTAATTTTAATTTATAATTATTTTTATATATTTTATATAATATGTAAAACTAAAACTTAGTGGTAAGTTAAATTAGACAATTAAGTTTGGGGACAGCGTTTGTCTCTTTTTTTTTTTTTTTTTAAATTATAAATATAAACAAGATTTATGATAATTATAATTAAATAAAATATATATAATATATATATTATTTTGTATAATCAAATTATATAAATTAATATACATTTATATTATTATATTAATTACTCTCAAATCAATATACATTCATTCAAATCCAACTCAAATCTAAAAAAAAAAAAAAAAAAAAAAACACATAAATTCAAATTCATCTCAAAATTCAAATAAAAACCAAACTCTTATATACTCCCTCCGTTAAGTTATAAAGTATACATATTTCTATTTTGGGATGTCTAATTTCAAAGTAATCATTTTATTAAATACCCCACTTTTTTCCATAAATATCCTTACTTTTACATGACATCATTACTTTTATACCAAAAAAAAATAAAGGCAAAAATATTATTACATTATTTTTACCTAAAGTAAATATATACTTGTTACTTGGACGGAGGGAGTATATATTTATATATATATATATATAAATCTGGAGATCTTCCAATTTGAAAATATCCGTAGTTGTCAGCGTATTAAATTTTAACTTTAGTAAAATTTAATTTTCAATTTCTAATAAAATTCAATTGTTTGCCATATTTCTTGCTCTAACTGTGTTGATAATCATGGGTATAAACGACTATGATTTCATTATTAATAACATACAAATTTATAACTCTGTAAAATGTAATAGATACTCAAACTGTTTTGCAACTCATGTATAGCTGTAGTGTCTCTGATTTCATTATATATAATATGCAATTCTAAAACACTATTAAAAAAAAAAAAAAATGTAATAGGCGGGTACATTACCACGACGAGTTCAATTCCAGGGTGAGATCAGACGTTCGATACATCGAATTGGTCTTCCATAAAAAGCACAAAGCGAAGGTTCTGGAAGAGTACCTGCCTCACGTTCTAGAAGTTTCCATGGCGGTTAAAGAAGGCAGGAAGACTCTGAAATTACATACCTTAAGAAATGACGGTATGATGGGGGAGCGAATTTCGCCATGGCAGTCTGTAAATCTCAATCATCCGGCGAATTTCGAGTCTCTGGCCATGGATGACGATATGAAGCAGATGATCATCGATGATCTCGACCGATTCGTGAAGAGGAAAGAGCTTTACCGGAAACTCGGAAAGGCGTGGAAGAGAGGATACCTGCTGTACGGTCCGCCGGGGACGGGGAAATCGAGCTTGATCGCCGCCATGGCTAATTATCTCAACTTTGATGTTTACGATCTCGAGCTCACTGATATCCATCACAATTCCAATCTGAGGAAATTGCTGATTTCGACGGGGAATCGATCTATTCTGGTGGTGGAAGACATCGACGCAGCATCGATTGATCTGTCGGAGAGGAATGCGGCGGAGGCTCCGCCGCCTCCTTCGGGGCATCCTTTTCACACGCCGAAGGCAAGTTTTCAACTGCTTCAACTCTTTTACATATCTTCACATATAAACCGGCAAAAATTGATAAAGATTCGAAAATTCAATTCAAATCTGACAAGAAATAATCGTGTTTTGAGGAATAAAAAAAGAAAAATGTAACGATAATGAACTGGACTGGGCCCAATCTTTTAAAGTCCGGCCATCCCTAGCTCAATAATTTTATAAATATAATAACAAATAAATATATATCAAAAAATAAAGATATAGTTTAATAGTTTAGTTTTTCTAATAAAAATTTATTAAATTATTTTAGAACAAAAATAAGTAAGTTATATAATATACCCTTTGGTTTAGTAAAAATACAAAAGTATTTTATTTATTACTTTAAATATCCTTATATTAATATAAAATTTGTACGAAATATTTTTTTCTCTAAAATTGATATTTAATTCTAAATAAATATTTTAATTACGTTAGTTTTATATAAACAAAAAATACAAAATATTTTAAATAATTTTTTTGAATAAAATAAATAAATAAATAATTATTTAATCCTTCTTTTGATGATTTTTGAAGACAATTTTTTATTATCTGATTTTTATAAGAATTATAAAAATTATTTAGAATATCTTATATTTTTTATTTAATTTGTATAAAACATGTGTAATTTAGGTATTTATTTAAAACCAAACATCATTTTTGGATAAAGGGAGGATGTTTCATGCAAACTTTTCACGCAATAAATAAAATACGGAATATTTTGTATATTTTACTAAAATACAAGGGGATGATATAATTTACCCATAAAAAATATAGATATTATTATTTCGTTTAATTTTCATATCAAACTATTTGAACACACTTTGGTAGACCGGGCTAAGGATTACAACCTTTAGACGGTGTTGTACAGATCACCTTATCGGGGCTGCTGAATTTCATCGACGGATTGTGGTCGAGCTGCGGCGACGAGCGGATCATCGTGTTCACGACAAACCACAAAGAAAAGCTCGACTCGGCATTGCTTCGGCCGGGCCGTATGGACGTGCACATCCACATGTCGTATTGCACTCCCCGCGGCCTCAATATGTTAGTGAAGAATTATTTGGGGGTCGTGGAGGATCCGTTGGTGTTGGAGGCGGAGAGAATGGTTGCCTCGGCTAAGGTGACTCCCGCCGAAATTGGCGAGCAGTTGTTGAAGAGCGACAACCCCAGGGTTGCGCTTCGCGGGTTGATTAAGTTCCTCGAGCAAAAAAAGGAAGAAAACTTGCAAGAATTGGATAAAAAGAATATAGCGGCGACTAAGGAGGATGTTGAAGCTCCGGTGGACATAGAGAATTGATAGAGGCGGCGAAGCGACTACCGCCGGCCGGAAAGTCGACGGAAAAAGTTTTCGAGGCCGAGGAAAATGGGGGTTCTAGAAGTGAACGATAAAAAATAATAAATGTGAAAGACGTCTCATATGCTATATAATAAATATAATATATAAGTATATATGTATATGGGTATGTTGAATGTGATATGATATTGTTGGATTTTTTGTCCTTATGGTCCACCCCAATTATGATACAAGATACACACTCGTTTCGCAGCCCGAGCACATCTGGGCCTGGCCCATGTCCCGACTTCACTGACCGCCCGACTACGTCCTGACTTAGCGATCTGTCCCAACTTCACCGACCGCTCGACTACGTCCCGACTCAGAGACCTGTCCCGACTTGGACCGTCCGCCCGACTTAGTCCTGACTTGGACCGTCCGCCCGACTTCGTCTGACTTCGACCGTCCGCCCGACTTCGTCCCGACTTGGACCGTCCGCCCGACTTAGTCTGACTTCGACCGTCCACCTGACTTCGTCCCGACTTGGACCATCCTAATACATACCCACTGTCCGACCTTATACCTCCCGACCTTGACCCACGTCCTGATCCGACCCGACTAGGATCCGCGTCTTTTTTTAAGCCACGCCCCTGGCCGTCCGATCTAGGGTTTTGATCCTGTCCGTCCATCCGATCTTATCTGTATATATATACCTGGGGTGAGAGAGGCGCCGTCATTCGAGATATTACTCACTCTCTCTAAAAAAGCTCACACTCTCTAGCCTCTCTCCCTCTCGACCTTTCTCTCACTCTCCTGTCCGACGGTGGTTCACGGCGGTTTTTGTGCAGTGCCTTTCCTCCTGTTCTGTGGAGTTCCTTTGGCACTTGTTTCCCCCTGTTTTGTGTTGTTCGTAGCCGAAAGGGGCTCGTTCAACTGTAGGCTTGTGGTTTCTGTTTCCTGTATGCCTTTTACTTTTCTGTGGGGGTTTTGTGGTTGTGAGTCGTGGTGTTGTGGCCGGTGTGCTTGTGTTAGTCGCGATTCGAGTGTGTATGTGTATATTTTGTGTTTCGAGTGGTTAGGGGCTGAGCCTAGCCAAAACTAGTTAAAAGTTTTGTTCGATTTTCTCAATAAAAGTTTAGATCCGTTCCGCATTTTTAAATAACAGATATATATGGATGTATTGAATGTGATATGATATATATGGATGTATGAAGTGATGGATGTATGTGTAGGTGTAATAAATGGAAAATAAATAGATGATGTTGAATAAGTTTTTACCGCACTATTATTCACAGCCGAGAATATATATATACATCAAACCGTCATACAATACAATGGAGAAACATTAGCCAATAATAAAAATTGTGTTCATCAACAAAAATGTACACTCATATGTGTATAACACTCCCTCTTAGATGCTTTTATACAAAGAATATGTCTCGTTAAAATTTTACTAGGAAAAAACCCAATGGAAAAAAATTATAGCAAAGGAAAAATAGTAGAACATTCTTGTATTAATGTGCTTCTTCTGTTTTAGACTTTATTTGATATCTTTCAATCGACGCATTCTAATTTGTTGAATGTTGCAGTTCGGCAGCGTCTTCGTAAATAAATCTGCAAAACTTTCAGATGATCGAATTTGTTGCACATTAATTTCACCACTCTTATGAAGATCGTGAGTGAAAAAAATTTTCGGGGATATTTGCTTTGTCCGATTGTCTTTAATATATCATATTTTTAATTGAGTTATACAAGTTGCATTATCTTTGAATAATATTGTAGGAGATAACAAATCATAACAAATCAAACCATATTTTTTATAAATACGGTAAGTCATAAACCTCAACCAAACGCATTCACGACTAACTTCGTGAATTGCTAAAACCTCGGCATGGTTTGAAGACGTAGTTGCTATCATTGTTTAGCAGATATTCAAGAAATTGTTGTTCCACCATAAGTAACTAATGTAGTTTGAAATTTTGTTTTGTGTGAATCATACATATAATCAGCATCAGAATAATCAATTAATTTATTTCAAGATTCATTTGAAGAAAATATTTCGAGGTCATGAGTCCCCTGAAGGTAACGAAAAATGTGCTTTATACTATTCCAATGACGCTTTGTGGAGGATGTGCTTAGAGAGTGAGATTTATCCATATAAAATTGTTTTAATACTTTTTGGGTATATGAGGATTGATGAATAAATATCTCGTTATTCACATGATCCACTTATAATCCTAAACAATATTTTGTCTTTCCAAAATCTTTTATCTCAAATTTTTTCTTTAGACATCCAACTGCAATTTGAATATCTTCAGAAGTTTTAAGTAAATTGAGATCATCAACATATATTGCAATAATGACAAAATTTGATCCATTTTTCTATATAAAGATGCATGACCAATTGGGCATATTGGATTATTAGTATATCTTTCTTTTATTAAACATTCAATGAGATACTGAAATGGTTATACCACGTTTGTCATAATTGTTTAAGTCAATACAATTGACTTTTTCAATTTGATAAAATATGATTCCTTTAGGTTTAATTTGTAAGCTTCACACATAAATAAACCCTCAGGAACTTTTATATAAATATCAGTATACAAGAAGTCATAAAAATATGTAGTAACTATGTCTAAAAGACGTGTGTCGAGCTTTTCTCGCTTCTAGACTCACAAGGTATCTAAATATTATTTAATCGACAATTGGAGAGTATGTTTCATCAAAATCCACTCCAGGTATTTGTGAGAATCCCTGGACTATAAGACGAGATTTATATCTCATATTTTCATTAAATTCAATTTTTTTTGTACAAACACTCATTTGCATCTCATTGGTTTTATATCATCTGGTGTTCATAAAACCCATATGGTGTATAACAATTTTCTATTATTTGTCTCATTATTATACTGCTAAAATGCTCAAGATGATCATTCCATATTTGAAAATCGATAGTATTTTGATCTACCGTGAGGTGTGTTTCAACAACACATATTCTGACATATTATAAATCAGTAGCGAGTGAATGTAATCTCTCAATGATGCATTTCTTTTTATCAATGATATTAGTGATTAGTTTCAATGTGGTAACTATTTTTTTGAATATTATAAAAAATAAAAATACAAAGAGCCACGTTATATGTATACATATACATGATAGGTATTGAAGGGGAAGTAGATGACAACGGTATGAGTTTTGTAGTTTGAGAATTTAGGCCTTAGAACCGGCTCTGCTCCATTTTGAATCCATTGGATTCCGACGAGTTTTAAAATTTATTTTATTTTGTAAAATATGCATATATAGTGTTTTTTGGGTTATATAATTAAATATAATTTAGAAAATGCATATATAATTGGTGTGTTTGTTTTATGATATTATTGAAAAGATTTTTTTTTTAATTTAAAGTATAGAGAAATATATAGGAAATATAAAAATAATAAATATTTGTAATTATTTAATTTTTTGAAAAAAGGGAACAAAATAATTGAAGAACAAAGCCTAAGCATTTTACATTTTAAAAATAGCCGTTACTAATATATTTTCAACTGTAATGCCGTTGGTATAGCATCAATGACTTGATAGTAGAAAATTAATAAGTTGAAAAAATGTTAAGTTGTAATATACAATAATGTCAAAAATTGTAAAATAATAATAATAATAATAATAATAATAAATGGTAAAAGGTATAACATTATGAATTTTGACAATATAAAAAATTATAGATTTAATTTTTATAATTTTAAATTTTAGGTAAATTCAAGCAAAGCCGGATTCAAAAAGAATTTTCGATCAAATTCATAATTCGCCCATACCCAGCCGAATTTGAAATCGTAGAAGCTATAATAGGTCATATATATAAAAAATTGAATTCAAACCCGAACACGCCCATTAACACTCCCGGGCAAGACCCGCCCAAATTGTCATATGCGGTAGTAATTGGTGTAGAATACTCAATAGTTCGTGTGTAAGGTCGCCGATTCACTCCAACCTTCCTCAAATTAGTATGTGTATATATGCACAGACTACTTCCTTCTTCCTCGCTCTCTCTCTCCCTATTTCTATAATTTTCTCCCTCTCTCCTTCTCTCCTCCTCTCAATACACTACTGTTCCTTCATGCGTTTTTTTCTTCATTCATTTCGGTAATCCTCCATTCCTTTACTTCAATGCGGAATTACCTTCAGGTTAGTTGATCGCGTCTCTGATTTTGTTTATGGATTAGATTTTGGATATGTTATAATTTTTACGGTTGTGTATATGTATGCATACATTTAATTTGATGTTAATAAATATGAAATTAAATGCATCAATCGTGTTTGAATAGAAGCAATTTTAATATTAGGTTTAATTGCTTGCATTCTGGAAGCTGTTGTGATTGAATCAATATATCTGTTCATCTAAATATCTTCTCTGTTTTTTTTTTTTTTTTTTTTTTTTTTTTTTTTACGAATTGGAAATTTGTTGATCTGACTGCGAGTTCGTTTATATACGCATTTGAAGGCGTAGGCGTAGGCCTATTCATCTGCAAGTTCGTGATTCTGTGATAGTACGAAAACCTACTGTCGTCGTCTGCTGCGAACTGCAATCACAATGTCAGAACCTCTCGAACGACCAGTCAGGCCAAGTGAGTTTTTGCTTAGTTCCTTCAAATTAAACACAATTCATTTATGAAAGTATTCGATCTGGAGACGATGAATTAGCATTCGGTATGAAATTGTGAGTGAGTTCTGTTGTGCTTAATCAATTCCTTCTAATTAATTAATTTTCGTTATGCGTGAGTTCTGGAGATGATGATGAATTAGCAAATTTGGTTGGTAAGCGAATTGTGATTTTTGGTGTTTTGGTTTTTTGTTGAGGAATTAGGTCAGGAGAAAATTGAGGCGGACAATCTGGAGGATGAGAGGAAGACTCGGATAGGATCTCTGAAGAAGGCGGCCATTAGCGCGTCAAACAAATTCAGGAATTCTCTGAGCAAGCGGAGGCGGAACAGCAGCAAAGTGATGTCGGTGGTGTTGGAAGACGAACACGACGCTGAGGAAGTGCAGGCCGTCGATGCATTCCGCCAGGCGCTCATTCTCGAAGAATTACTGCCAGCCAAACACGACGACTATCATATGCTACTCAGGTACCTACATTTATTTATTTATTTATTAGGTACGAATTTATTTATGCGTGCATCTATTCAATCATTTTACTTCATTTTTATTTTATTTATTTTTCAAATACTCATTTTCATTCCCACTTTCCTTTTTCACAATTTTTGGGCTACTAGAAAACATAAGTCACTACCCACCGACACTGCATACCCAAAAGTTTGATGCCGGTAGTTGAAAACAACATTGGATAAACTGTCGAAGTTTTATTATTATACTATAATTATTTTTCTGAAAATATTAAATTAAATACTTATTTTTATATAATCTTTTGTAGTTTAAAATATATATATACTATTATATTAGTAAGTAGGCTTGTATAAAATCTAAAATATTATTGGATTAATGAAGTCAAAAGTAAGATGTGATAGGATATTTTGGTAAATTGAAACAAAAGTGAAAGGAAATATAAATTGAGATAAAAATAAAGGTAAAGTGATTACTAGGTGAAAACTACATAGAGAGACCATAAATAAATAAAAACTTATTTAGATGGAATAACTCTAAATGAAAAGTGAGATCATTTATTATATATTGTATTATCCTAAAATTAATTTTTTATATTTAAAATATTATATAAATATCTATTTATAATAAATTAAATAACAATTCAAATTAAAAATTTTACTATTTAAACTATTTTGAATAATTGAAAAAGCTGATAGTAGACAAAAAAAAAAAGTAAAGTAAAATGAAGATATTATGAAAATTTTAGTAAAAATTTGATAAAAATGTGATGAATGAGTAGAAAAAATAATAACAAATTGATTATTAACAAAAAAAAATATATATATATAGTTGATATTATATTTTATTTAAGAAAATATACTTTTAATATAATATTTTTTAAAAAGATAATATTAAAAGTTCAAAACTATTTATATAAACAGGATCCCATTCTTTATGCAAAAATGATTGAAACAGGTTTCTCAAGGCAAGAAAGTTCGACATAGAGAAAACAAAGCAAATGTGGTCCGACATGCTCCAATGGAGGAAGGAATTTGGCGCCGATACTATCACTGAGGTAGCTGCTACTTATAATAATATTACGGTGCTGATAGTACATATGCTAAGATTTAATATACAATATTATTACATGCAACTCATCATATATATATATATATATTAATATAATACCAATATATTACATATAATTTTATTCATCACATCACATCATATCATATCTAACAATTGATTACACATCATATGTTATAATTATGAACAACTAACATATGTCTGCAACAATTAATTACGCAACATACATTATAATTATGAACAAATAACATATGTTGTGGACTTGTGCCTTCCCAATATTACACACCATAGAAGTTTGTATAAGTAGTTTCCTTTGATAGAAGTTTGAGAATTTAAATTTTTTTAAAATAATAAAAAGTTATGATAGTTGGTGTAATATTTTGTTAGATAAAATATTTACATATATTTTATTTGATATTTAAAAGAAAATTTTGATAAATAGTGTCAAAATTTATAAAAATATCGGTGTGAATAAAGTTTGAAAACTTAAGTAAGCTAAGGGAGAGCTATATATGATATATCTTGTAATTTTTATCTTGCTAGGATTTCGATTTCAAGGAGAGAGACGAGGTGATGAAATACTACCCACACGGTCATCACGGGGTCGACAAGGTAGGCAGGCCAGTTTACATCGAAAGGCTCGGCATGGTCGATCCAACCAAGCTAATGCAGGTGACCACATTGGATCGTTACATTCAGTACCATGTTAAGGAGTTCGAGAGGACCTTCATCGACAAGTTCCCCTCTTGCTCGATCGCAGCCAAGAAGCACATTGATCAGAGCACAACAATTTTGGATGTACAAGGAGTCGTAAGTTCCTTAAAACTTTCATTACGCGCATTCATCAAATAGAATATCTGAGTTTAACTTAACGCATATAGTCCAAAAACCTTGTTTTTCATATAGGGCCTGAAAAATTTCAGCAAGTCCGCAAGGGAGTTGATTCAACGGCTACAGGCCATTGACGGCAACAATTATCCCGAGGTAATTTGGATTGCAAATTATTATTAGATTCTATTGGTTAATTTGATTATTGATTCTTGAAGTTATTTGGTCCTCTCTTTTCCTATAGACACTTTGCCAGATGTTCATTATCAATGCCGGCTCAGGGTTCCGGTTGTTGTGGAACACTGTGAAGTCGTTCCTCGACCCCAAGACTACTCAAAAGATTCATGTAAGCTCGAGACCTAATATAAACTCGTGTTTTCACTATAGCAATAGAATATTCAAAAATAGCGTCTAATAATAAATCCCTTTGAGGTGAATATAAGCAACTAATATAGAATATTTAAAGTCCCTAATCAGCATATGAAAAATGATATGGCAAATGTATGTTAATTATTTATACAACATATATTGTATGAAATGCTAGCATATGTAATATATTTATATATCTTGTGTAATCATCACATCAAAAACTAGCAAATAGTAGATTGTTCATATTTATAGGATGTGGTGCATGAACATGTATCATATGCTAAAGTCACTATAATATGTCATACATGTCATGTAGACTATTGTCCAGTTCATATACTGCATTTGGAGTTTATGGTTGTCTGTCATAATGTAATGTATTATCATTATTATGTAATTTTGAAATTGTAAAATTTTCTAATCTATAACATGTATTTTTCGACACAACTATTCTCTCAAATGGCATGAGTGTAGTTCCTATGTTTCCTTTTAACCAGGTTCTGGGAAACAAATATCAGAGCAAGCTACTTGAGATGATCGACGCAAGGTACCGATCCATCTCAGAATTAAAAATCAAACATTTCATTACTCACACAACATTCTAGCCGAGACTTCTTCAGGTTCAATAACAGTCATTGTTCTCATTTGTTAGTGAGCTCCCAGAATTCTTAGGCGGGACGTGCACCTGCGATGACAAGGGCGGATGCATGATGTCCGATAAGGGTCCTTGGAACGATCCGGAGATCATGAAGGTTACCGATACTCTTTAAGCCTCAAGAAATCTTCTTTCTTACTACAAGAAATGTATCCTTTTACTTCATATTGAGATCCATCAGTTATGTATAGTTCTGAGAATCTGTGATTCATTTCATCAAGCTGGTCCGAGAAGGCGCTCATAAATGCTCAAACAGATCAGCCTCTGCCTCTGCGGACGAGAAAACGGTCTCAGAAGACGAACCTGCTGCGCCTATGTCTAAGGTACTCTATTTTTTCGGAGAAATCTTTAGCTTGTGCGTAAAATGTACTGAAAGCTCAAAACTTGGAATGAACATGTAGAGTATCAAGAAAACCGTATCCTTCAGCATGACGGCCAACGGGAGTGAAAAACCCGCACATTCACAGCTTCCTCCCGTCAAAGAAGAAGTAAGCTCGATTCTAACATTTTAAAATCTAGACTATAATCGATATAACTGTTAAAATGAACTTAGCTCACGAGTCAAGTTCGACCTAGCTCAGTAACAACTCGACTTAACTCATTTATAGAGTTAAATGAGTAGAGCTCAAGCTTGAGAATTATTAATTTTTATAAACAAGCTCAACTCACAGACAACTCAATTGAGGTCGTTGTTGGAGATGGTATGTTCTTATCATTTTATATATTAATACAATATATTATTAAAATATGAATATTGTATTAGTAAATTATAAATAATAAATTAAACATATTTATTTTATATAAAATTCAAGTTAAACTCAAGCTTGAGTTTGAGCCTTGTGAGCCAAGCTTGACCTTGAAGTTGAGCCTAACAAATCGAACTCGAGCTACCATTTTAGCTCAAATTCTAAATGGACCGGGTCGAGCTTGTGCTGAAAATATATTTGAGCTGAGCTAGAATAATAGATACTCGAGCTCGTTTAACAACTTACGCTATATTTTTTCAATGAACTTATTTGTTAGTATGAAGCAAATATGGTTCAAATTGTGTTCAGGAACCCAAAGACTACACAAAGGCGCAGGCTGAGCCACAGCCTAAAATCGAGTCCTTTGCAACAGCTGCTACAACAGCTCTTGCAGCAGAAAAGGCCATCACTCCAGCAATGTGGCCACAAAGCATCGACAACTTCCCTCTTTCCAAAGGCAAATACATACATACCTACAATACTACCATTTCACACATATTACATACTCCCTCCGTCCAAATAATTTCGTCTTCGTCATTTTGCTTGCGCATAGATACTATAATTAAATATTAATATAAAAATAAAAATAGATAAAATAAAGAAGGGACAAAATTATTATTATTTGATCAAATAAAGATAGCAGAGGGAAAAAAAAGAAAAAGCTGGCATAATTTTAATGGACGGAGGAAGTATTTTTATAGTGTTTGTAATCCATAACCCGATGACAGCCCATCGTCTGTCCGTCTGTCTCTCTTTGCAGCCTCCGATTTCCTAAAGCTGACGGATGCGAACAGCAACCATCTCTTTACAGGAGTACTAACATTCGTGATGGGAGTGGTGACAATGGTGCGCATGACGCGCAACATGCCAAAGAAGCTCACCGACAACCCGGCTGACCTCTACGCGGGTGCTATGGGCAGAGGGGACGACATGATGAAGAGCCGGGCGCGCTCGTACGAGTCGGCCGAGGCAGCTGTGTCGAGAGCAGACTACCTGATATTGATGAAGAGGATGAACGAGCTAGAGGAGAAGGTTAATATCATAGCCAACAAGCCGACGGGCATGCCGCCGGAGAAAGAGGAGTTGCTCAACAATGCATTGAGCCGCATAGACTCGTTAGAGCAGGAGCTTTCAGAAGCCAGAAAGGTTAGTATCATTGTCAAGCTCGACTCATTAGAAGTTACTTAAAGATACTCCCTGCGTTCCGCCTAAATAACTATAAGAGAATTTTATAATAGATTAAAATAATAATTATATCAAGAAGATGTTGATATCAGTAATACCCTTCACTTTAGCTGCCCGTAGTAAATCTCTCAAGTACTTTCTCAATGTACAGACTCTTGAGATAATTGCAGCTTTTTGGTTGCTCTATATCACAAGAAACGTTGATGCTAAATTTCGATAATATCTATCTAAGCATAGCCTAAGTTATCGAGCTGAGGCTATTCAACTTGAAATTATTAGATCAGCTCGACTTGTATAAGAGCTCTAATGTTAATAACTATTGGTGTTGTGAATTGGCAGGGTTTGGAGCAATCCCTGTCTCAACAAGCAGAGCTGATTGCGTACATTGAGAAGAAGAAGAAGAAGAAAAAGTTCTTCGCATTCTAGTGCAGATATTCTTAGAGAGAGAAAGGGTAAGTTTTTTGGGTTTTGGTAGTTGGTTGGCTAGTTAAGTTAGTGTACAAAGTTCCATCTACAAACTTGACATGGCTAGACTAACACCAATATGCATATCCTTCTATGTGTGTTGTGCAAGCACGAGTTTTGTGTAATTAGTGCTTGTGTGGATCGGATAAGACCGGGGAACCAATGCTTATATATATTACTCCTTCCTTCAGCTAAAATATTAATTTGTTTTATTTTTCAGGTCTGTTTGACTTCAAAATCACCGCTATTTAGCTAGCAAAGTTTGCAATAAAAATATACTATTTATTCTTATAAAACATCACATATAAATACTATTTAAACTAAAAAAAAAAACCTTATAAATTTCCTAGCTAATTCATCAAATATCCAAATAGCAAGTGGGGGCAACAACAATTTATACCAATATATGCTACGGAATCAGAAAACAGGGATGGGGATGGGGATAGGGAATGAATCAACAACCCTGTTCATGAAATAAATGTTTGAAATATAACTTGGAATCACTTAGATTCACGTCGTGGAAGCAGTTTCACACAATGACTCGCAAGCACAGACTAAATAATCTACATATTCAACCATAACACAAGTTGATGAGAAAGAGATGGCAAATTACCTCGAATACAGCAGAAGATATGATTCCCAACCAAAGAGCTCCCATGTTTACCAGCAAAACATCTTCTTCTGGACAAAGAAACATAAATATAAACTAGTTAACACCACACATTGCACGGCATTCTCCTCATCGAAACTGTGACTTTTATATTCAAAGAGGAATCACTGAGGGAAACTTTTGAATTAGAATAGTCTCATTTGATATAAAAATATGAGTTTGATTTGATATCTTTGAGGGGGGGGAGGTAGTTAATAAATAGTAAAAACATATATCAAAAACAAGAAGCAAACACAGCCGAGTACCTGCTGGTATTTGGCATTTTCTTGGCTGTCGATATAAGCAAGCAATTCTTCTTGTTTCATCAAAGCCTCGTACAGAGCCTGTTCGGAGAAGAAATTTGATTCTTAGGTTCGACAGAGCAGTAAGACAAAGCTGGATACGAACAATATCAAATTTATATTCTGAAAGCACTGAAAATATTCTTACCAAACTACCAAATTGAATGCATTACATTTTTTGCAGTATTAAACATCAATCATGGTAGATTTACCAATTTCCAATCTTACTTATAAGTTATTGTACCTTTTTGGTGGCAATCAGCTCGGCTTCAAGGGCATCCACTCGGTAAACAGCAGCATTCAGCAGTTCTTCTTTCTCATATGGCATCTGAGATGGTTTTGCTTGAAGGGTACTGACCTTCTCTTCGAGCTCGCCCAGCTTCTTCATGACGGAAGAAAGTATCTCTGCTTCAGTAAAAGATGGTGTTGGGGATGGAGGTCGGAACTCCTCCTTGGGAGTTGTGTCAAAAGCAAGTTCGGGAAGGGTGTGGTCAGGCTGAGAAGGGATGTTGGGAAGCTTTCTGGTGACACGGTAGTATATGGATCGGAGAAACAAGAATATTGTAGTCAAGAAAGTAAAGAGAGTAGCCACAAGACGATAGCGAGACTCTGCTGCAGCATTCTGAGAATTGGGTTGGAGAAATGTCTCTGAAAGATCAAAAGATGGGTTAGTGTTAGAAAGGCATGAAAAATAAACAAACACTTGCAGCAAAAACTGTGTACTCGATTAGTCGAGTACAAGATGTTCATATGAAAAAAGATGAAATGACCAAAGATTTACAACAATAAAGCTTGGCAACTAATAGCAACAAACCTTTAGGAACATATAGATTTCGAGGTGAAGTTTGCTTCTCACATTCAGAATCGACAGCCTTGTCAACCATAGGAACGTACTCATCATATCCCGAGAAACGGCCCCCATAGCTTGTTCCCGCAGCCTTAGCCTATGACATAACTCAAATAGTCATTTTAAAATAAATGACACGATTACAAAATAATAGCCACTCAGTAGCTAGAAGGAGAAGTAGATATACTGCATTAATATATTTATGAGATGGAATTCACAAGCTTGACACCAGAGCATATCCCAAATTTATATTTATATTTATTTTATTTCGTTTAAAAAGAATTAAACAGGGTTTGTGTAGATTTATCATACTTTGATGGAAAAAGGGATACCTCCATAAATGATAATAAAGCAATTTACGTTAAGAATTATTCAAAATTCTCTAAGGCATGAATACTTCTCCTATTAGTTTCAAATTTCGACCAAAAATACAATTATATCAAACAAGACATTGACTCTAACCAATACCTCCTCGCGCACGGGAGTCAACCTAAGTTGTGAATAACTCCTTGAGGCTTTAGGCGAAGCAATATCTTCAGCTTCAGATCCAGATTCGGCTGTCGATGTGTCACTTCCTTTTAACTGCCAAACACCATATAAATATAAATTATCTAAACTATAACCAGTGGAGGACAAAATAGACGTGCTAATTAAGAGACAATCATACCATTGGGTAACGAGGCTTCACATACACTACTTTCCCCTCACTGTTGACAATCTTAATAACCTGCCTGGGGCGACGAGCTTCAGTATTTAGCACAATCTGCAAAATTATGCCTACCAGTGATGAATATGTATCATAATATATGTCCGTGCGTAGATAGTCAAATAGGTAGGCATTGTGAAAGGGAAGTTATACTATCTTGGAACCAGCATATAACACTGCAGCAAATTACAACCTTCAGTATTTCTGGATTCTTCCACGGTCCTTTATCAGAGTAAAGGCAACCCCCTTGATCCGCACAGGTACACAGTCCCCCCAAGAAATCTGGCAATTGGCTGTGCATGCCCAACATAAACTGTCAAAAACTTTTCGAAGAGATTTCAAACACCTAATTACAAGGCACACCACAAACATGATATTCAAACACTATACCTTGAATCTATAATTTCAAGCAATTTGTGCTGGTATTTATTTCCAAGAACCTATCAAGGATTAAAGACAAAAAAAACTAAATGTTAAAACAATATGTGACCAAGAAATAAAGCTCCCAAATACTAGAAGGCGGGAAGCGGCATACATGAATCTTAGAGGCAGTCTTGGGATCGATAAATTTTTTCACGGTATTCCAAAGCAGTCTAAAACCAGAACCGGCATTAATGATAAACATTTGATGGAGTGTCTGCAGTTCAAATAAGGAACATCAATTACTCACCAAAATCATGCATAACATAACATACTGATAAAATAAGGGAATCCAGAGGTTTACTTCAGGGTAATTATCACCATCAATCTTTTGTAGCTGCATAATGAGCTCCCGTGCATTCTTGGTAAAGTTTTTCAGGCCCTAGGAGAAAAGGAAGCATAAATTCATTAAATTATAATAGGAAGACATAACTAGAAACAGTGGAAAACTAAGCAAAACAATAACTAGTCATACCACACCATGAACATCCAAAATGGTTGTGCTTGAATCAATGTGCCTTTTCGCAGCAATTGTACAAGCTGGAAACTTAATGGCAAAGGTTTTCTCAAATTCTTTTACATGGTATTTTATGTATCGTTCCATAGTTGTAACCTGCATAAGTTTGTTAGGGTCAACTTTCCCAAGCCTCTCAATGTATACAGGCCTCCCATCTTTATCAACTCCATGATAACCATGGGGATAATACTTCAGAACTTCACTCCATTCCCTGAATTCAAAATCCTGATAAAGAATCATAGAACAATATGATTTAGCTAAAGATACATCAAGGAAAAATGAATAAATAAAAATCCAAGCCACACGCCAAAAATTGAAATAAATGTATAGGAGTAACTACCTCCAGGATAGTGTCTGTACGAAAATCTTTCCTCCACTGAATCATATCAGCCCACATAAGCTTTGACTTTTCAATGTCAAATTTCCTTGCTTTCAAAAACCTACATTTAATGAGAGGAACATAAGAAGAAATTATGAATCGTAGAAAAAACCACAAACTTAGGGAAGTAAAATTCAACTACAGTGTTACACGAATATTTGATAGACACTAAAAATCAATCCCCGAAACAACGTTACTTTGGAGCATGCAAATGCTCCCTCGAAAGATCAGGGAGGGGAAGTGTTATTGATTCCCCAATTTTTTGCTACTTCAAAAACACTGAAAGAGAATAAAATGTAGATATTCTTAATGTTAGTGATCTAGATGGGTGACTAATGCCTATTAATTGTTAATTTCGTGATCTCATCATTATATAAAACTTTCCAATAAACACCATAAAAATACGTGTTAGTTTGAGGGTTTGAATTTTGGTTTGAATTTTTTAATAGTAAAATCTTTAATTAGAATAGTTGTTTGATGTGATATAAATAAATGTTGATGTAATGTTTTAAATACAAAAAATTAATTTTTAGTATAATATACAAAATAAAACTAAGTATATGATTTGATGTTTTGGGGGTAAAAAAATTAGTTGAATAATGAAAATTCTTGAAAAATACACAAAAGAATACTGTTTTAAGAGGTACATATAACCAAAACTAGAAGAAGTTTAGAATAATGACCTCAACATCATATGATAATCATCAAATTTCTCTGGCAGCAAATCTTCCAACATCAAGGCTTGTCGGAAGGACTCAACAGCTTGCAATTCCACAGCATCTCGAATATCTTCAATTGAAACAGAACTGATTCTCCCATCGCTTTTTCTTCTGCTGCTCTTTTTCTTAAGAGAGTGCTTTATCTTAGAAGATGCATTCAGTGCTTTCTTTTTCAATGACCCAATTCTTGTCCTTCTTTCATCTTCAGAATTTTCAAAATCGGACTTTCGTTCTCTTTTCTCATCATTACCAGATGAACCCTCAAAGCCTGCCCCACCCAATACAAATAAAGATTCATGTGGGAAAAACTTTGTGCCAATAAAATAGATATTAGATTCTCACACAATCTGCCTCTATTAAGTATGCATACTCTTCTTAAAGTTCCATACAGAAATTTTTCAGAAATACATAGCTCAGCAGATCACTGTGCTAAAATGGCATTTAAAAATCCGAACATCATCAAGCAACAATATTAGCATGATAGGATTCAATCCATCTCTAGAAATTTATTGACTAGGGTAGCTATTCCACTAATATAAATAGATTCAGGAGTTTTCTTTCAGTTCAATACAGACTGACCATCAGCTCATGAAAAATCCTATTCTAATACCAAAAATGTCACTTAATCTTCATCAAATTTGGCCTCGAAAACAACTTGCCACAAACAAGCTTACTCTACTTTATAAGTTGGATCAAATATTCCTCCATTTGATTAAAGGTCTAGGGACAGGTTTTACATACAGGAATTATAATTGGGGGGAAACCAATGATCTAAGAGATTCACTTCATGCTTAGTTATTCAAACCTTGGAGAAAAAAAAAAAAAAAAAAAAAAAAACAAAACAAAAAACAAAAGAAGAGAAAGATAGAAATAGAAATAATTTTATGGCTATGTCATCGCAAATATAAGAAGCAATCAAACGAAGATATTTTGGGTAAAGAGCACACCAAATCAATGTTAAGACCCATTCTTGAGGTTCATAGTAAGAATTAGACAAACTCGGTGTCAATGTTGAGCGTAAACCAAAGATATTTAATTTGAATTTCCTTAAGAGAAAGAAGAATATTAGATTGAAAATATATTAGTCAACATATTAAGTAACTACCCCGAACAAAATTCCTCCCAAGCATGATAATGTGGTATTCAACAGAAAATGACCAGATCAAACAGATTTTCCTCTTTGCAACTTTCCTTAAACGCAGACTAACATTAAACTCAATACAGACGCGTTACCTTGATCGCATACATGAAACGGTAAACAACGAAATACTTGAGAAAGCCCAAAAAGAAGTGCATAATAATTGCAGAAAAATTAAACTCACAAGGTCTAGCAAATCGATCCAAGGGTCCCGACATCGCCTTCCTTCCGCCACCAGTATCGAAATCTTGATGACCGAAGCAGAAATCGCCCGAGCGATCAATCTAGTATCAGTATTCTCCGTTAACTGAAAAATACTAAAGTCTAAGACCATAGCTCGCCAAGACGTACAAAATAATTGTTGAAAAGCGAAAAATTTTCCAGATCGAGAACTCAAAACAGAAGCTCCATTGAAATCACATCAAACATGCATTAAATCGAAACAGCAGGTACAATAAATACATACCAAAAACTAAACAAACAACTTGCAAGACAACAAAAGTAAATTCAAAAAAAAAACAAAAACAAAACATAAATAAAACTTAGCACACATTTCTGCGGATACGTTCCACCGGATAATTACTGCGGAGGCGACGGCGACGTCGGGATGGAGGAAGACGGCGAGAACAGCTACACGTGGCGAGAGAAGAATGGGGAGAGGAGAGAAGAAGGAAGGCGCCGGAGGTAGGTTTAGTAAAATGCCAAAAAAGGGGAATTTGAAACAGTAATGGAGGGGGAGAGAGAGAGAGAGAGAGAGAGAGAGAGAGTAATCACGGGGATTCGGTGCCGTGATTTCTGTACGGCACTGTGCCGTTAGGTGGTGGGCCCCACTGGACTGTGCCTTTAGTTCCCTTTTTCACGCTCTTTTATACTCTTTGTTGCTTTAAATTTATATACCTTTATTTTAAAATTTATATTGCCTCACAACTCAATATATTTTTGTTCATAAAGAGAGCATAATGTGATTTTTGTATATAAATTTTGTAAATAAATAAATAAATAATGCATAAAATCTTAGGTGAAATAGTGGATTACATAATATGATATCAAAGTCTTAAATTTCGAATTCAAGTTCCACCATCTTCGTTTGTTGTTGTCCATTTAAAAGCAAAACAGTCATTTATATATTTACAATCAATTAGTTTTAAAATAAAAAATTTATTTTGTACATATTTTAATATATAAAATTTTCCAAAATAAATAAAATACAAATATTTTATGTATTTATAAAAAACACAAATAAATATTATACAATTTATATATATATTTTTTTATTATCCTTTATTTATATATAATCTAAACAATTTTATTTACTTATAATTTCATTATCACTATTTTAACAAATAATAATTAATTTTGCATTATTTTTTTACTTGACCTACTATTTTATTATTAATTTTTTAAATAAATTTTCTATAATATTTTCGTTTTATTTTTCATATATATCATATTTACATTACTATTATTTATTAGTTTTCATATGATCATATCCGACATAATTAATCTCGATAGAAGGAATAATATAATTAGCCCAAAATGAATGAGTAATAATTATTATTATTATTTTGTAATATTTCTTTAAAGTATTACAATTAATCAATAATATTAGGTGCAAGGTGGTCCTTTTTTAATATTTAACATTAAAATTATTTTTATATTTGAATAATTTATTATTTGTATTATAACGGATTAATAAATATATTTTTGTTATTTTTTTTATTTGTATATTTGTATTACATATTAATATAGTAATTAATAAAAAAATTATATATAAAAAGATGAATAATAATCTTCTTATGGAGTACTTAAATTTTGAAAAATATTTATGTGAAAAAAAGAACCTACCGATCCAACAATAGATTATGTTAAATTTACGTTGACGGGTCTAAAGGTTATTAATAAGGTCCATGTGGCAACATCCATTGCAAGGAGGGGCGGCTGCGGCTCAAAAGTGGTCGAGAAAACCAAAATAAAAATACATATTTCTTTTGGTTTCAATACAATACTTGTTTATCATTTTTGTTCATTTTAAAATAATAGTATTATTTCTATAAATAATTATAAAATTATCTTTATTTTTTATTATTATTATACAATTGTCATTATTTTTTACATTAATATATTCGTAAAGACAAAAAAGATTTTACTAGTATTTTTTACTCATTACTAATATAATATCAATATTTTTTAAATTTCATGCCAAATATATCTTATATTATAGTTTTAAAACGGAGAAAGTATGGTAGAGAATGATCTATTCCATAATTATTGAAATTTTCTAAATAAGACTTTAGTGAAATAAAAGCAATAATTGAGACTTACGGTGTGTTTGTTTGAAGGATTTTGAAGAATTTCCACTATTCATCCAATTTTTTTCCCCCAAAAACATCAAATCAAACACCTATTTTTCATTTTTTATATTATACTAAAAATCAATTTTACATTCAAAACATCACATCATACAACTATTCAAATTCAAAATTTTTACTATTCAAATCCCAATTCAAAATCCAAACCCCCAAACAAACACACCCTTAGTGGAACGGTCAGTTGCACAGAATAATAAATAAATAATATACCTAATACTTCACCATTGGTAGTCACGCTCGGCGTGTGTTAAAAAAATAAATGTCATTAAAGTGATTGTTCAATTTATATAGATGTTTAGAAAAGTATTAGATAATAAAAAAATAAAAACAAAAATAAAAATTTATATATTTGGCGTGAAAAATTTTAAAAGTATTTAGATTTTTTCAATTGTTTTTTTTTTACATATTTTTTTAAAAAATGGAATACACTATACATATTTATTATTTTTATTTTTTCTATATAAAAAAAAATATTTATCTTAAAAAAATATATCAATAAATTTACTAACCAATTCAACATCAAATTTGATATTTAGGTCAACAAAAACTTGCACTTAAATATCTTCATTCACGGTGTCATTCGCTTGAAAATTTTAATATTGATTATTTTTTTTAAATTATTACCAAATAAATTGTATATAACATTTGTTATACTGATCTTCATATTGATATGTTAAAAAAAAAAAAAAAAAAAAAAAAGAAAAAAAAAAGAGAGTGTTAGTCTAAATAGAATAAATAAAACTATAAAATTAATTGTTAATTGCTATTAAAAGAGATAAAATAACGTTATTAAAAAATATATCATTTTTTACATTTAGTGAGAATGTATTTTTTTTATATTTTCAAGAAAAAGTAAACTAGCAAAAAAATAAAAAAGTAAAAATATAACATTTACATTTAATAAGTGAAAAGAGATAAATTAATAGGAGTACAATAAAGTGAAGCTCTCTCAATTAGGTTTTTACAAAATTTCAATAATTTCGTAAAATAAATACACTCTTAGGTGTGCTTGTTTGGGAATTTGGATTTTCAATTGGGATTTGAATAGTAAAAATTTTGAATTTGAATAATTGTATAATGTGATATAAATAGGTGTTGATCTGATGTTTTGAATGTAAAATTAATTTTTAGTATAATATAAAAAATAAAAAATAGATGTTTGATTTGATATTTTTTGGGGACAAAATATGATGAATAGTGGATTGGAAATCCAATCCCCCAAACAAACACAAATGTCTATGTAAATAGAGTGAAGCTCTCTCAATAAGGTTTTGTTCATATAATCAACTTTCGTGTACTTTTTCCGTTTTAAAACAATAGTTTTATTTTGTCATTTTCGTCCGTTATAAAACAATAGTTTCGTTTTGTTTTTGGTAACTAGTTTTTCACAATTTTACAAAAATATTCATAATTTTTTCACAATAATTACATGAGTATGGGCATTTTAGTCTATTAAAAACACTTTTACACTCACTATCAATATAATATTACTCCCTCCATTTGGCAAGAAAACTGTCATTAGCTTTTTCCGCGTTGATATTTGAATATTAACTTTATATTAATACGTAGTATAAATCAATAAAAGAAAGAAAAAAAGTATGTTTATTGGTATATTTGTCGAGTAAATTATTCAAATATAATAATATTTTTAATGTTAAGTATAATAACGCAAAAACTAAATGACAATCTTCTTGCGGATGAAGTATTATTTTTTAATTCTCGTGTTCATCTCAAATATCTTTATTTTTTTGAGACGATTGAGTACTTGATTATTATGAAGTATTTTTTTAAAAATATCAAATTAAATGGAATACTAGGTTTTCATTTTTTTTTTTAAACTTTCAAACTTCAAAAAGTTTTCAAAAACATGAGATAATATATTGGTGTGTTTGTTTTGTGAGAATGTTGAAAAAAATTAATTATGTAAGTATAAGGAATCGTTTAAAAAATATAAAAATAGTCAATATGTGTGGTGTATTAATATTTTCAAAAAACCGTGAAAGAAGAAAATTAGGAATAACAAAGCAAAAATTCATTCAAAATCTTTTTATTTCTATCTTTGTTTTCGTCTTCTCAATATATAAATATTTTTATCTATATAAAAAACTTTCTATTTTTATAAAATTGGTTTATATTATCATAAATAAATATTTTTTAATTTATTTGCATTATAATAATAATTTTTTTATAAAATAATATTCATCTTATAAATATTTTATTAAGATACATATAATATTTAAATACATATTATAATTTTTTAATTATATATATTAATTTTTATTTTACAAAAATAAAAAATATCATTCATAGAAACATAATGAAATAATATTATACTTTATTATCATAAAATATATTTTTTATATTTTATATGCTCACTACTCCAAAATAATAATCTCATTTTGTCGTTTTCGTCCGTCTTAAAACAATAGTTTCAATTCTATTTTCGGTAACTACCTCTTCACATTTTTACAAAACTATCACTATTTTTTCATAATAATTACATAAAGTAGAGGTATTTTAGTCTTTTATAAACACTTATATATCTACCATCAATATAATACTATTATTCTTTAATTCTCGTGTTCATCACAAGTATCTCTATTGTTTCGGGACGGAGGGAGTATTAATCTAAAGAATTTTAATAGAATAGCACCCTGACCATTTTTTTTTAATTCGACGAATGTGTTTTGAATCGAATTTAATAATTTGCAAATTAAGTTCAGGCATGAAATGAAAGTGTTTAAACTTATAATCTCACGATCACGAGTCCACTACCATACACTATCCTTGAGTATGTTTTTTAATTTATTGGAAGTTAATGCTTCCTCTTGTAATATTTGCAAAGAACGAGAAAGTACTTTTCAACAAAGGTTGGTACCTGACACTAATAACTCTAAATAGCTCTATTTCCAAATAAATTCTAATAAATCACGTTATTACAAATTAAGAAATATAAAAAATTGAAGCTTGGGATCGGTTGGCTTGGTTATCAGTCTCTTTACTTATCGGTTTTAAATAAATCAATTTTTTGTATATAGTATAAAGAAATATATTGGTAATATAAAAAATAGTACTATTTTGTCCGTCCCATAATAAAATATCTATTTTTTTTAGTAACTGTACTATTTACCTAACATTACAAATACTCTTCCAATTTTCAATATATTACACAAATGTCATTATTTTTATATCATACAATACTAATAAGGTTAGTTTAGTCTTTTTACCTTTATTTCTATTATATCATAATATAATACTAATATTTTTAAAATTCCGTGCAAAAAGTAAATGTATAGATAAATATGAGATAGATGGAGTAATATTTTGTATTGAATTGTTGATTTTTTTATAAATAGATACTATATATATT